GCAGGAATAGACACTTTCTACAAAAGCGAGAGGTAGAACAAGTCCCCGTGATCATCAGCTTTCGCCCCAGCCCCATGTCTGAAGACACCTATGACTGGAGGCAGCAGAAGGGCCGAAGCTGGTCTTATCACCGCATTTACCTGACTGTGAGAAAAACTGTGACCGCCGCCAGCTGTTGCGAACCCTAAGCGGAACCATGGCCCCGTGGGGCGGCTCTGCAGGCAACGGCACGGAGACAAAACAAGAAACAGCGCGGTCAAAAGGCAATGAGGGACCCTCAGACCCGAGCCGCCTCAGCCACAAGAGGGATTTTGACTGCAACTGCTTTGGACCATAGCAGCCAGTTTACAACGAACCTGCACACGGACTGACCATATTTAAATGCCACTTTAGTAACACAGCACCTAACCTCACATGAGAGCTCCAGCAGGCTAATGCTAGTCAAGGGCTGCCATCCCTTCAAGTCTTTGCATGGTGCTTGCGTTCATTCCTATTGTGGATACACATTTTAAAGGATTTTGTGGTCCTTTCAGCGCTGTACATCCTGTGAACACTAGAGAGCAGTCAAGTGTTTCAGCATCTCTCAGGAAATAACAGAGAGACACCTACAATCTGTTACTTGATGTTTTGGATTGATTTGTGCTTAACATAAAATGATATTGCTCTCAAAGTCTGTCTGGAAAGCACCTCCCCACATAAAACAAGTGAGATTTCTATTCCTTTTCAGATAACCCTGTTCTCCCCAGTAGACTGCCTTCAGTAGTTTCAATCTTGAAAACATGAGGATAATCAGTATATTACCTACACATAACCAACAACCTAAATGGTTCTCGGGGGAAGAAAACTTCAGATTATTTTTCTCACTCTCTTTCATGTTATGTGCATATATGGACCTCTAAAATGGATATAAAATCAAACTACTAAACAATCTCAAGCAAAACTTTGTCACAAAAGCAAAAAAAAAGTTTTGCTTTGCAAGTACTCATGATGTGCACAGGTCAAACTCAGGCATGTGGCCAGATATGTGTATTGTTCATCTATAAAAAGGAGCTCCACATGAGCAGCTGAGTGCAGAATTTATCTCCAGAAGTTTTTATTGTGAGATAAAACCAATTGCTAAGCCATTTTCATCTGTGAGCAGCAGATAAAATATAATACTCATTGACATAATGCAGCTTTTATTGCTAGGCCAGGGAAGTGCAAGATAGGGCTTTCCCTGCCCCCTCCCTTGTGTTACAATTCTGCTGTTGTGTTTAAGGACAACAGCCAGAAGAGTCCTTTGCATCACAGAAGCCACGCTACCAATATCAGTCAGATGCAACTAGAAAATGACCATTTTAGCTTCAAACCCCTCCAGGTGATTGATTAGGCACTTCTCCCTGAACACCACACACACATATCCAGTTACTGTTCAGCTAAGTTCTCCAAATACTGTTTGCTCACCTTGTAGACTAGAATTCTGCAGAGTAACTTGGCTGGCCTCGGCTAGTTTCTTTAAAAATGGCAATACTACACTTCCCTCTGGCTCCAGGGCTTTTGGTTTCATCACCTGTTCAGACATTCGGGAACAGAAAACAGCATTCAAAAATCAGCAGGTTCAATCAAAGGTTAACTTAAACCCTTTCTACTTATTTTCTGAATCAACATTATCAAAGATGAAGCCTCTATCTCCAGAATTACAACATGGAGTTGCAGTATTGAAGTCCTGGAAATAACCGGTATCTATTTGTTATTGACATTCACGCTGCCCTGCACACCAAAGCCAATCCTAACGCAGGACCAATATCTAACTTACCTGACAGAGCAGAATGGTCGTGGCCATTTGTTACCTCTGTCACCACCCACACTTGTTCACCACTTCAAGAGGACTAAGAGCTTCCCTGTCTACACCTTCTGGACACTCTAACCTCCCAACACACAGTGAGACTGGGTTTGCATGTTAAGTTCTCATTTCTGCTCCAGCCAGGATACAGGTTCAAATGCTACAAGCAGACACTGGGGAGTTGCTTTGGAGCGGGGCGGGACTCTGATGACCACAGGATTTGGCACAGAAACCATCTTCTGGGGTCATTCTCTAGAAGACTGTTTTGAATGAACTCCTGATGTGACATCTATTTAGAGAAAAATAACAATTTGCACAATAAATATTTCCTTGTGAGATCTTTCTTTTCCATCCCTTCTCTTGCCTGTATGTACCTCTGGTATAGTGGGGTGCTCTGCTTCCTTCTGCTGCTCCATTTCAGGTTTCTTCACATCTTTCTCATTTGAAGCAGCTTCCTCTGAAGGGGTAGGACTGGGAAGAAATTCTAATCTCTTCACAACAGGGCTGGCACAAGCTGCAGTTGACTTTAATTGCTTTTGATCTGAACCTAATTCACACGTACAAGAAAAAATGTTGCAAGGTTAAGATTTTTTTCAAATAGAACGTAGACCTATTTTTAACAATCCATTCTCTTACTGGATATACTGAGGATGTTTTAAAAAATAATCTTTTTTCTTCAATATAAGCAAAATTAATCTCCCAGAGAAGACAAGGCTTTAAGGGTGAAATTCACCTGACAAAAGGTAGATGCTTACACTTGACTTGGGCACCATGGGGCACCCCTCATGGTCAATGAAGGCAGAGGGGCAGTTCTTGGGACAAGAAGCAGCAGCTTCTGAATGTGCCTCTCTGACAGACTAAGAGAGTGAGTTAAGAAAGAGATGCACCCCAAGGCTCAGCTAAAAATCTGCATACAGGCAGAGACAAGAGCTGTTCATGCTGCCAGACTGATGCACACCACTTTGGAGCAGCTCCCACACCGTTAGTGGCATAGGGGTCACTGGATGAAAGTATCTGGCTTATACTACACAGCAGTGGAGCTTGCTTATTCTACAAGAAGGTCACACAGTTTAGACCACATCTATCCCTCCCAAGCAAATACAATGAAAACCCATGTTCCTTTACCATTTTTGCAATGCTATCTCAGTTTTCCTTGGCAGCCAATATTAAACTTTGCTATCAATACTTAATGTTTAGCATTTCTCACAGGTGTGGAGCCTGATACAAGGCTGCTTTGTGATTTGTAGACAAATATCACCAGCTCATCCCTGCTGACTCTTGAGAGGAGAATTTGGTTGGTTCACCACAAGATTGCAGCTTCTACATCCCTTGTCAGGTGCAATGCGAGACTGTTTAGCCAAAGTAATGAAGTCACCTGATGAGCCCCTGCTAACAGCCCACATGCCTCAGAGTCTTGCAGGAAATCCAAAAAAGGCTGGATATGCTTCTAATCTTGGGGGAATGGTAGCCCATTGATGTCTGGGGGCAAAGTTCAATTGTTTAAGTCACATTTATCCTCAACAAATAGCATTATGCTTATATACCAGTTACAGCCAGAGATCTCATTTACATACCTACTTCAAACAGTACTTTTTACTTACTCATACCAAGCTGAACTTTTGATAGACCCATTTTAAAAAATGAACAACCACAAAAGGCCATGCACTTAATATACAGCTGACAGTAGGTAAAATGCCTACACAAAGGTAATGTTCCAGAAATACCCTTTTGAGGAAAACAGCTTCAAATTTTACCAGCAAATTCCTTTCTACAGATCAGGAATCTTGCATAAAGGATTTAAAACAGAAAACCAGGACTCTGCACAATACATTTAAAGCCCCCATGAGGACTGAAGTGCCCCTTCTTATTCTGTTTCTCATTTCTTAATGCCTTGGAGGGAGAAAAAAGTGCTAAACAGAAGGTATTACTGACAGATAGTTTCTGCCCTGACTGCTTTCTGGTTACAGCATGCTGTGGCACCAGCTTCTCACACACACAAATGGCAAAGCTGATAACTCGCATCCTGAGCAATGTGCAGTCAGGTGTGTCATTTCCACCACAGAATGACAGAACAGCCCAGGCTGGAAGGGACCTTGAGAGATCATCTGGTCCCAACTTTCACGGGAAAGGGAGCCTAGAGGAGATCAACCAGCACCCAGCCCTGGGAACTCTACCATGTCCCTGGGGAGGTTGTTGCAGTAAATGATCATTCTTACTGTAAAAAAATTATATTGAGATTTCTGACACCATCTGTGTTTTCTAATAATCCCTCTTGGTGCTGCTGCAGAGGCACTTACTGGACTTCTGGTGCAGGGTGGGCCTAAACCCCAGCCCCTGCGGTGGGCAAGGGCGGGGCAGGGGCAAGGGCAGCAACAACAGCCCACCTGGGGACGGGCATGTGAAGCTCGCAGCTCCCACACTGCCATGGCTGGCCTCGACCTGCTGGCTGGTGGCCACATCTGCTTCCACTGGTGAGGCCTGCAGAGAATAATACAGTAGAAACACAGTGAGTACAGCAGAAATAAAACTATGTGTTAATTCCTCAAGGCAGTACTTGCTGCATCTTTGTAACAGGTTTGAATCAGCCTGGTTTAGAGGTCAGCAGGGAGCTGGGGAGTATGTTTCAGAGCATTGTGTGCCGCTCGGGTGTCACATCACCGGGTTTTAATTTCCTTTTCAAGCCGTTCATCGCAACCATCATGGAGTTGGTTTGGAATAGCTCCCGCAAGCTTTTAAAATTGTAGGATATTTTGGATTGTGTTAGCTGGAGATAAGCATACATTTCAACCCTAGTTTCTCCTTCCAGAATAACATAAAAACGTATGCATTAGTGAATACGTAGCACGTACTATGGTTTGAAAAGTGGCAAAGTAATTAAATACTTCCTTTATTTTATGGTTGTCTAAACAATCTGTTGTCTGAAGGGAAAAGCCAGAGTTGGTATTAAAGGTAATGAAAGACTTGAAACACCATTAAGAAAAGACTGAAAAAAATATGGTGAGAGCATACTGAGGCAATAATCCAAATCCCTTTGAAAAGGCAGCTTCCTGACCCAGGACAAGACTGTTGCAGAGCTAAAACCACTCTGTCAAAACAAGAGTATTACTTCAGCTGATCTATTTAGCAGCCTCTACTATACATTCGCTTTCCCAGTAGGCAAATCAAGAAAAATCTGCAGCAAACTGATCAGCCACTGCACTGCGCTTCTAATGCACATAAGACCTAGAAAATGGCACATTTGACAGAGTAAAATAAAATAAGAAGACTACTTTTAGAAATAAATATAACATATTTCAGAAGTAGGCTAGAAGACTCACTTTCCTGTCCTCCTCCCACCCCTCCATCTTATTAACAGCTGCAAGCAAGGAAACCTGATGAAATTTCCTCTTTTCTGGGGGCAGGATTCAGACCTCCAACTCCTGCACAGGTCTTGTTTCCCATCCCTGCAGACCCACATGAGTCTATGGCCCCTCTGTGTCCTCTGAAGAGCTCTCACAGCTCAGTCATCAGGGATGTCTGCTGGCAGTGCCAACAGCACACCACCACTTTGGCTCCAGAGAGCTTTGGTGTCAGGATGCTTGGGAATCCCTGCCTCTCCCCTCTCCTCCCTCAGGGGAGGCCTGACCCAGAGAGGGGCAGGGAACGTGTCTGGGAATATGCCCTGTGAGGGAATGGTGGGAATGGGTGTAGGGCCATGGCCAGGGGCACTGACCCAGGCAAGCCCAGAGGGCAGCAACCAATGTTGGGAACAACAGAAGGAGCCCCAGGCTGCCAAGGCCTGTGCTGCCACCTCACAGCAGGCCAGCTGCCAGATCACAGCCAGGAGCCTTTGGAAGAGGCAGTGCATCTCCTCTGGGGCCTGCTGGGGTTGGCTGCCTGCTGTCTTCCTACCGCCTCGTGCTTTCCACTGCACCCTCACTTCCACTCACCCAAATCTTATGCCCCAGGCAAGCCATGGGGACATATTCCCCTCCTGCCTAAAAGTGGTTCTCAAATTGGATGAAGCAGAGGGTGAAATACACACTTCAAAAAGGTAGCATAGCAAATTTGAGGACCTCCTCTCCACCATGTCCACCTGTGAACATGCCTACACCAAATGCAAACAAAGCATGGACTTTCACCTCCATGTGTTGCACACCCCGAGGTGGGACAGTCACTGGAGATGAGACAGAGGCGACAAAAAGGGCCCTAGAGAAATCCTCCAAAGACTGCAAGTCCTGTGGCCCAGGGATTTGTTTCTTGCCATTTTGTTGCTCTTTTCTCTCATATAACCCACCTCTCCTCTCCCCAACCCATCTTGATGCCAGCCTGTGTTTCAGTGAGAGCTTTCTCACTGAAAGCTTCTGCAGAAGAACACTGCAACTAAGGAAAACATTTCCTTCAGCCTCAGTTCTGGCTCCTGACATGACATCAGTCAGGGAAGAAGCTACTGGAAACCCTTCCCAACCTTGATCAATGCAGAAATAAGTATTTCTTCTCTCCATTAAATTTTTTTTTAAAAAATCATCTTTAATTTCAACCCCAGAGGCTTTAAAGCTATAAACAATGATAAACCAGGGCAAATACAAAAAATGTTAAACAGTGTTACGTACACCCAGGGAAGTCAAGTGCCAATGGCAGCTGGAGCAGGTGAAAAGAGCACAGCCACACTGGCTTCTCAGGGGGTTTAAAAAGCTGAGGGAATGCACAGACATGATGCACTTTTATCCCCTCTGGATCTGGAGTTACCTCAGGAACTTAAACACAGTGCTGTGTCATGCAGCTATCCTGCCCAAATGCAACACCTAAATCTACCCATAACCTATATCCAGGAGGTTGAAATAGGTATAGACGTAGATGTTATTTATAGAAATGTTTGCAAAGAGGAGTAAAAATAAAAAGAGCTACAGGAAAACTGAATTTTGCAACAGCATGGTGTAGAAGTTCTGTTTCTGCTCATGAGACTTAACTCTTCCTCCTCCCTCCACTGAGCAATTAAATGCTAGTGACATATAGCTAAAAATATAAAACTGATTAGTAAGTAATTTATTAAAAAATTAAGACCACTGGGGAGCTCTCTCATTCCCAATATATTTAATTCTATATATAATGCCAGTATCTACAGGTATATGATACATTTAAGAAAATTCTTGTACTGATGCAGATGACAAAATGTCTTTTCTACCACAGATTATCATCATTCACATTTCATCAGTATTTTGTAATCAAATGGGGATGTTATCCCTGAACATGAAAAAGACTTATAAGCATTTCATTGTACCTAAAAGAACTGTATTTTGGCACGGACACTGAAAAACCAAACAACCTGGCGAGTGACATTTCTGAGGTGCTTCAGAGGAGCTATCGTGACGTGGGGTGAAGGACCCACAGCCTCTGGGCACCACCCCACTGCAGCCACCTGTATTCATGTGAGCAGAGGTATCATTCTGCAGGGCCACAGAGCTACTTCATTCACTGGCTCTGCTGCAGCTGCCTAGGAGGGAAGGTCACACAACACCTCCTGGTTCACCACCACAGGCAGTGAAGCCTTCAAGGAAGTAGGAAAAATCTTAGTGCATGAGGCTGTTATCTCTGCCCCTGGATCCAGGCTGATGTGATGACTCCATCTCAGTAACTCCTCAAATCTGAAGAATGCTGTCTACTTGGATTGGTGTTTTTATTACCCTATGCACCGAGCTACCCAGGAGTTCAAGTGAACCTCTCCATTTAGGATTTAGAAGCCTTAGTCCATGATGGAAAGTTAAATATTGTGATTGTATTTGCAGTTATGAGCACAACAGTAATAGAGGACAAAGCGACGCCTCAGTTTTGCTAACCAAGGTATCCATATCCACAGCTGACTATATAGTGTTATCAAACACCCATTAGGCATAAAAATAAATTAGTTCCATTTGTGGCAGACAGGATTTTTATCCCATAAACTAGGACATCAGTCCAAGTAGTATTTCTTTAATTAAGACCATATAAGCCAGAAATAGCCACATTGCCTATTGCTGTGGCAGAACCTTGCATCCTTATGAAACTCTGAAAATACAATAACCAGGAATTACTAAAACACCAATCATCACAACTACAAGAATTCAAACTCCAAAGGAAGTTACAGTAGACCTTTATTAACCCTTATTGTAAATGAAATAAAAATGTAAGTCAGTTAACACTACTCGTACACAAAATCATGTGAAATACCATCACTCTATTTTCTACAAAAACATGACAAAACAAGTTGTCTAGAACCAGTGAGAATGCAGAGATATTGGGAAGAATCAGGTCAGAACTACAGTTTAAAATCTGTAAAATCAATAACCACATGCAGAAATTGGCTGACACATTTTTCAGACTTCTGTGATTTAAACTCTGTCATTGACTTTAAAATTTTCACATGATGAATTCCTCATCAAAGCAAGTTTTTTCTATTGTTGTGAATGGTAATGGTGGCATGACCATGGGCTGCCACACTTTAGTGCCTTGCATGCTGTGCCAGTATCACACTACAGCCAAAACACTGCTCTGACATATGAATCCATCTGCCTCATCTGGCAGCTCTATAATGCTCTACTCGGGCCCGCTATTACAACCACAGGTCAGGGTGGATCAGTAATTTACAGAGAAGCCTTGAAAGTGTTGCAAGAAATGGTGTTAAGTATTCCTGCTAGTCATTTTTCTAAAGTTATTACTGCTCACTTGGGATGTAAAATAAGCTCCTGTCACTCATAGACAATGAAAAATGCAGAGGTGTCTGGAGGACGGGAGACATGGATGGTAGATTCATAACCAAATCCTGCACAGAGTTCCCTTCTAGCTGTTTTGAAGCTTTGCTGCTCTCACTTCTCATCCTAAACTTTTTTCCCTTCAAGTAGTCCAGCCCTCCATGCACCTTCCTATGTGTGGTTCAGGGCAAAGCTGCCAATCTGGAACAGACTTACTCTAGAAGTGTTTCTTGCAATGAATCAAAGAACAAAGACTTGTCCTACCAGATATGTACAAATTGGGATTTCAGCCCTGCTCTCCTGTAGCTTGGCCAACAATCCACAACCACACGAAAGCTTATACTTTAATCTCAGTTCAATCAGTGGATTTTTGAAGATGAAGGAGAGTGTTTCTTGGATATAGAAGAAAAGATTATTTCGTGCCAAGCATGCAGTGAGTAGAAATGGACAAGTTTATGCTAGCTAGTGAAGAGTCAAAAGCAAGCCAAAATCTCTCCCCACCATCACCACCTCACCCTGATATTTTTACAGTTGTTGTCTATATTTTTTTTTGCTTTTTGTTGATCAGAGCAAAGCTATAATTAGAGCCACAACAAGCCAATAATTTCTAAATGCTCATACAAAAACTGGCTAAAATAAAGTTGTGTTTCTCACTGACAAATAAATCCCCCTACACTAAAATATGCACAAACATTTTTTTAAAACAAAACATTTACTTTGCCAACTCCTGATTCAAAGAGCTAGAGGACACAGCTTCACAGCATTTGTAACGTGCATTGCTGTTCTGTATAATGGAAAGCAAACACGACAAATGGCTGACAGGTAGGACTGGAGGAGGAGATGATTTTCTGATTATTGCTGTTATTGCTGGCATTGCCACTGACTAATCAGTCAGTTTTTGGGCCTTTGCCCCAGTTTTTCCAGCTCCAGTAAGAGAGGTGCACTTTACCAACTGCCTCTCTTAGCACTGCATTGCTCCACAAACACCAGTGTGATGTTTTCATCCTGCTTATAGGCCAAATTTATCCTTTCTAGCCTTAAATCATAGGCAAAATTTTCATAAGATCCTTTGTGCAAAGGTCCCCCCAAAATCTAAGTACTCTACTTATACACTACAGACACAAATATAGTATATCGATATTTTTATTTACTATGCTTTCCACCTGCTGCAGCTTTTTTCATCTCATTTCATAGTAGATTTAGGCAGAAGTTACATGTTTCCCAATCAGTCTCTGATTGAGGCCATATAGATGGGGTTCTTCTCTGTCAAAAAGACAACCGATACTGTGGTCTTATCCATACTAAATGATCTCTGCACTTCTCTAGCTCCCCAAAAACCTCAATTGTATTAGCATTTTAAGTGATGCAACTTGACTAAACCGTTTTGCAAACTTCAGGCTGAAAGAGCTGCTGAAGTACAGCTGCACAGCATCTTCCCACATTGCAGACAACACCTGAGGCCAGCTGGACAGATTCAGAACAGGGCTACAGAGCTTCAAAGGGAAGGCTGCCAAGCAGAGAGAAGACAGGACCAGTCTATTTGACAACTGAACTGAAACAGCAGGGGAGCAGCCTGAAGAGGGATGGAGGAGGAGGAAGGGGCACGCAAAGAACAGGAACGAGAATCAGAACGGGACGACAGGAGGGCCAAAGGTAACGTATATATGAAAAGGAATATATGCTTCACAAAAGAGACTCAGGCCAAAGAATGAATTAATAAAATACAAAAGCAAAACAGATCTCAGAGCAATAGAAGGATGAAAAAAAACCAACCTAGAAACAGCATCTCCTGACAGGCAGAGAAGCCTGTGAATCTCGTTCAAAGCCTGGGAAGGACATAACTAACAAGAACTATATCAGGAAGTATACAAATAAGTATACAAAGGAAAGTATACAAATAAAGGCAGTGAAAGCAAATTTAGAAAATGCTTTGAAAACATGCTTCATTTGTAGAAGTTTTCTCAAGGCAAAAGAAATACAATCGTTTCTTCTACTTCAGACTGCTCTGCTGCTTCATCTCAGCTGCTTTTCTATCCCCATTTCTGTTGTCTTCTCCATCTCTCTTAAAAATTCAGTAGGGTTAAGCATCAGACAAAAACTACAGCCCTGGTTTCTCCTTGTGGGAGGTGGTAGAGTGGCAGCTTCAAAAGGATTTATTTCCAAGAATGGGTAGCTTGGAGACCCTACCCTGCTGGGGCAAAAAGCAAACCCCTTCTTCCCCTCTGGAGGGCCTGCAGTGACAGCTACAGAATTATTTGGCATCCCGCCCAGCATCAGGCCCTGTTTTAAGCGTAGGACAAGCCCAGGAGACTCTTTTCTTTCCTCGTTTGGATTCCCAACCTTCCTAGGAGGGGTTATACCTTCAGAAATGTGGTTAGTGCTTCAGACTCTGCAGATACCAGCTGACATCATTGAGTCAGTTGTGTAGAAACCAAAGTAAAATAGGAACCCCTGAAGGGTAACCATTCAGAAGGCTGAACCAAGTGAGTCCAGTGTAGGTGCCTGATTCTTGCAGGTAATGCCCCAGACAGACTGCATCCATATTGAGCTGCCTACAGCAGTGCTGGCCTGCACCCCAACACATACGGTGAAGAACCCAAGTGTCAGCACCATGTCCCATCTCTAACCTGGCATCTAAGCCCTTCCCGTCCATGAAACAGGGCACTCCTTTATGCCTGATCGCTAAATTGCTGCCTGTGCCTTACTCTAAGGCATGGGGGCCTGGAAGATTAAAACAGAACAGCTGGGTAAGGAGAAGCAAATCTCTAGAAGAAACAGAGCCTGTAAATCTCATCTCATCAGTGAGCTCCTTTGCCAGTATCGTCACGAGGGCTTCCTGGAACCAGGAACTGGATGCAGAAAAATCTGCAGTCAGGCAGCCACATCATCCTCACAGCTGTAGAAGGAGAAGGATGAGAGGGCATCAAACAGGTGCAAACACACCCAAGCCCTAACAGTGGTTTCTGCTGCCGAATTTCCTCTCAACTCTTCCACAGCTATAGTGGCCTGGAAATCCTACAAAAGGAGACAGTAACACTTTCATCTGGCTACTTTTCTGATCGCCATTGTGCTTCTAATCTGCAGCAAGCTGAGATCCCTCTCTATCCTCCAACCATTCCCATTACCAGCTCTCCCCTACCAGATGCAGTGTTTACTTGACTTTTCCCTCACAGTCAATTCATTCCGACCAGAGCAGCCTCTGCTCTGCCATCCCTGCCTGCTTTTCTGCAAATCACTCACTCTTGATGCCACACCACTTCATTCTGACATGCTCGCCATACATCCCTGCTCTCACGCTTGCTGAAGGCTCCAGGATTTGGTTGTCCATGGGCAGAGACTGGCATGAAGCAGGGGAGTAAGATAAGACACAAGCCTTTTGGCATAAATGAACCATCACTCCCTGAGATAGATTTCTGCCTGCTCCCTGCTACCCATCTGGCCAATGCTTGGAGGAAATCTGAGATGAAAGCAAAAAATTATCATACTCCAACTCTCACCACATCCCCAATGCTCTTTGTTGTTACAGAGAAAAGAACGGTAAGAATTCCCTCTCCTGCTCTGTGTTTGCAACCCTTCTACACATTTTATTTGCAGACTGGCCCTTATTTCTTGTTTTGTTTTTACTACCTACTTTTATTACAGTTTGCTGTGATATGCTCCAGTTTTATTCCTGCATTTTTCTCTGGGGAAGAGGGGGAGAGAAAAATGAAAAGGTAAAATTAACTTGTTTCTTTGATAAGGCAGTTAAGAAGCACACTGGCCCCTTCGAGCATTTCAATGGCTTACCTCCTTTTCTAATATTTCTGAAAGGGTAATGAAAGCTGAATGCTCAAAACTGCCAGCACATCCACATCCTCTTCTTTGAAAATTGAAACCTGAGACTAATTATAATGGCTCACACAGTCCCATTATGTTGCTGATCTAATTAGCTAACATGAGGAGAAGTGCTGAATAAATCTACACAATAACTGGGACACAGAGTTGATTACTCTCTGGCCCAGCACATTTAAAGCATGCTTATCAGCTGCACGACATACAACAAAAAAAAAAGAGACATTGGCTGCAAAAAGTTGTTTGAATCTTTCCCTCCCATTTCTCTTAACCACATCCCAGAGGATGAAGCCTTTAATTTACAAAGGATTTCTTTTTTTCCTGGTCAGGGCACACCCTCTTGAAATACAGCAAACATACGCACTTGGGTTTCATTAGTTAGCAATTAAATACGTTATGAGAAAGAGAATTGGCAGACAAAGTAAGGCTGGTTTGCTCGTGTTGGTCTTACTGTAGGCTCTTTGCGCACACTCTGAGTGGCAGACCTCTGTAAACTGAGCTCAACACTTGTAGGGTCCTTCTTCAACTCTAGTGGGGGCCTGTCCCCTCTGGCTACTCCGTCAAATTTCAGAGATCTGCTTGGCGAAGGAGTAAATATCACTGTAGTACACTCTTTATCCTTCTCTTCCACACTGGTGAAATTTTCTCCATTCAAGCTGACTTTTCCATCTACCTGCAGAATACAGTTAAATAAATATGCTAAGGCAATTAGCATTCAAAGGAAATGAAGACTTCAACATGATATCAGAATTGTTAATACAGTCTGTGCCACCAGTGAAGGACAGAGTCAAGCACACATTTAATTCAACAGGTCAAGATAAAAGAAAACCCTATTCCATGGAGGTCATAAACAAAACACAGACAGAAGGGAATAATTTTTCTGGATTCCCTGGTTTCCCACATTTCATTCTCCCAGCAACCACCTTTTATGTGCATCACAGATCAATGGATTTTAAAAGAACAACAAAGATTTATGTTAACTATAGACCAAAACTGCTGGTCTTTGGATCGCCTCTTGCAAGGGGCAAGCAGGTTCTCCAGGACTAATTACACTGATGAACTGCTATGTACCCTGACAACCTCACCACAGCATTAGTAAACCATGATTTCTGAAGCACTGTCATATGAACTTTGAAAGGTCAGGAGCAGAAGAGTTCATCCATTCGTTTCTTTACTGTTCATAACAGGGACGCAAGGAACCAAAAAATAAAACTCTATGAGGTGATAAAATAAATAGCTGATTTCCCAGAAAATTATTTTATGCAGTCGCCATGAAAAGCGGAGTGCAGAAACAGTCTAACTGCTTTGCTCTCTGGGTCAAGCTGGCTCCTTGGTGGGCATTTATCCCTGCTAAGGAAACTTTAAGCAAGGAAGAAAAAACAAAATAAGCTCTAGCCTCTTCCTCTGCACTGATACAGCTTCCTCTCAGGACTTTAATACTTTGTAATTATGTTCTGAATGGAGGTGCAATGTAAAGGCTTCCTTCAATATGGAAAGCTGTTTGTAGAAGCCATGGTATACATGAAAAAAGTCTACAAAGACAAGCCATTCACCGGAAGAGGGCCCAGGTGAAGAGAGACCAAGAGAGGACCAGGTATCAGTAACACCACATTGGTTCTGCTAAGCTACAGCATGGATGTTTATAGGCTTGTCAGAGTGTTTTAAAATAGATTTGAAAGAGGGCTTCGCTACACTATGCACAGAGATCCTTCCTTGCGAAACAGTCGTCATGGGAGATAATGCAAAGGTGAGGGAGTAACTATGGACAGACTCTTTCCTGCTGATCATTGGACTTTTGGGGAACAATGGCACAGATCAGTGATTTCTTAGAGAACCTATCTGGATATATGTGGTGATTAGACATTTCAGATTTCTCCACAGGTACTGCATAAACAAAAAGCACATGTGAAAACAAGCTCAGAGGTAAGCCATCCCATGGGAACTTTTAACTTAATTCACTGTTATTGAAAACTGATGCAGCAAGTGTCAAAACTGTTTTATTGAACTGAAACACAGTTTCAGAAAACAAAGTCTGTCCCAATCTCATCCTCCCACCCCACTCCTTATTTCACCATTTATTTATCTTCAGTACTTTACCTCTTGAGTAAACAGCTTGGATACCTCAAGAGTGGCACTCCAACCTAGTATATGCCATCAGTGCTAAGCTGAGGGCAAAATCCTCCTGTTAACTTCTTGTTTAAAAGCATCCAAAGGTCCTTCTCTATCTGAAGATGATTAACTGAGGGGCCATCTCCAAGGTGCTGGGGCATCCTCAGCTCTGACAGACGTGTGGGGAGGTAAAGGCAGTCAGCATCTCGTGCAATCAGCTCCCAGGCAGAGAAGAAACAGCCCAGCTCCACAAGCAGTTTCACCCCTTCCGACTGCTTTTCAGATGAAAAGGTTCCCTCCCTTTCCTCGCTGCCATCATCCACTCAACATAGCACCACTCTTAGGGCTTATTTCCAAATGCAAGTGTGAGCAAATGCTGAGCTCCCAGTCTTCTGGGACTGTGTGCTGGATTACCTACTAGAGAGGCATGTCATGAAAGATCGCAGAAATAAAAAAGCCAGGAAAACACTGGCAGGCTGCACAATTCATTTTAGTGTCTCTGTTTAGACTAAGTCATTTTTGTATTTATATTAGGGAAAAAAACCAAATGTTTGAATGATCAGGAGAGATGCCCTGGCTGCGGAGTTAAACAAACATACTCCTTTCCTTCTGATCTGGGGCAAGTCAACACATTGTCACCAGACCCGAGAATCACTGACAGACTGGTGTTTCAAGGGAAAATAATGCTACAGCTACGTGTGCTAGGGCATGATTCCTACTGATAGAAATCACATTCCTCCACATCAAACGAACAAGACCTAGACAGACTTTCGGTGGTGGTTGGTGTGGGGCAGAAGCATCTGCAGGTTAGTTTCTCCCCACGTATGTGAACTATATATGCATTAATGTGATGGTGATACACACAAATATCTTGGTCCTCTGAGGAAAAAAGTGGCATGGATCAGAAAAAAACCAAAGTTTCACGATTCACTGATGTCTAAAATGTAAGCTCTAAGGGAATACCAACTGAGGTACAGGAGAAATAGTAATTACTAGTTTCACATTTCAACTTGGAAACGTGGTGGAGGGGTTTCCACAAGAGCTGGGGCAGACTTCAAGAAATTATAGACATCACAATGTGCTTTTTCACTGTCTATACAAAGCTGACTTATTTTTTAAAAAGTAAACAACCTGAATATACATGGTAGCAGTGTTAATGGGACATCATGAGGGCTGCAGAGACTAGCATGGCTGCATGCCACTGGTGAAGCAATGGAAGACACAAGGGGATCTGAACTTTACAGGTTGGGGGCACCTATGCTAGCAGGCTTCACACTGCCTACAACAAGGCTACAGTGAGATTCGGGGAAACTCCAGTTTCTGTACAGGCACCGTGAGCAGCAGATTTCTTAACTTATTCTGGCCTGTTCTCTCTAACACATCCCAGTTCTTTGCATTCTCCATCACTGGTTCAGTACCTTACTCCCATTCTCCACACTCACCCAGTCCAAAAATATACTTCTCAGGTTTCATGTCCCAGTTTCAGTCTCTTCTCCTATCCTCTTTGCCCACAAATCTCATAGCTGGCTCCTTATTCCAAGCAGCCCTGCTTTTGTCCAAGCTCTCTTAATTCTTTTATTCCAATAATCTTTGCGCAGTTCTTGCAACTCAATACAGTCCCTCCCACTCTTCCACCAGCAATCCCAAGTTAAGACACGGCCCCAGTACCAATCTGTTTCCCTAAACCTGCATAGACAGCCTATAGCCCCTTCGTTAGTGAAGTGGCTTTCTCCATTCATCCCTGGTGAGAAGCATGTTTAGGACAGAGAATATTTTGGGGCAAGCTGACTCTTGACTCTGAAGAAGTAGAGACTCCACACTGAACACATGCACAATGCCGTGTTTCAAAGGCTTATGACTTGGCTGAATGGGACAGACTTGTTTGGGTATGGGAAAAATCAGAGCCCTGACACAAAACTCACTTCAGGTCTTGCTCCAAAAGTCAGAGCCTCCAAGCTCCCTGCCCTTTCCTTTTTATTTAAAAACAACAACAAAAAAATGACAACATACTCCTTCCTCTCATCTTTTTCAGAAAATGCCTTGCTTTTTTCTTAGAGGCCCCCCTTTCCATGTCTTTCCCCAAACAAATCTAGGATGAGGAAAAATGACCAGCACAAATATTCTAGTCTGAACAGGTCAAGTTTCTAAGAAGGCTGGTAACCAGCAAGAGACCACTAGACTGGCCAGCACAGAGCACAAAGCTGAGTTTCATAACATCAGAATGCTGCAACTATTTTCTACTTTATTGCATCAAACATTTATATGTTGAGATGATTTAGTCAGGATCTCTTTGCCTCCTAATTGACTTTGGGGAGTGCAACATATCCTACCTTAAAGTTCTTTAAAACTTCCTGTGTATTTTTGGGTTGTGAGTAAGGCTTGGGTGTCAGCATAGGCACAGCCTTGGAGACAACACTTTTGCTGGGAGATGTGCGGCCTGTTGAATCGCTGGGCTCTAGTTCAGCAGTGGGAACAATGGTTGCTTCAATGGTGGCAGTGAATTTTGGAGCAGGCAGCGACTGTTGCCTTAAGTATCGCAGCGGATTTGGGTCTTTCAGTGGGGAACTTGGCTCCACTGAATGGCTTCTTTCCAGAATTTTTGGCATCTGCAAACGCTCAAGGACAGCTTCACTGATAGTGAATCTTTCGATATACTGCTGGAGGATGCTCTCAGCCTCCTCCTGTGACTTCGCATTCTTGTATGCCTCATGAAGCTCCCGCTCTCTTCTCTCTCTGCAAGGGAGTTAACACAAGAGAAACCATAGCATTAAAATTAACGCTGGAAATCACTCCTATTGCCTCTGCTGCATCAACATCTCTCCCTCTCCCTCACTTCAGGCCTGCAGGCATGGCTGCCTGCAGCTACCTATCATCTATGGAGCACACAGAATTTTCAGACATGCCACCGCACTTCACTAAATCAACGTACTTCTCTTCCACAATTTCTCGGTAGGTTTTGATGCTTTTTCTGCGCTCATTTGTTCCGTCTCCAGAGAGTAACCTTTCCATTTTCTTTCTCTCAGCTTCTTTTTTTATTAAATCCTGTGAAGCACTTCTTCGACGACTCTTCCACCGAGCCAGGTCCTGTGAGAGAAGGAAGGCACCTGAATGCAGAGTTGCAAATAGCCAAAAACTGGGCACAGAAACCAATGAACCCAGCTAGCTGTTTTGCAATGCTTATTTCTAGCTGTGGACCACTGCAGGCAGTGATGCTTACTTTAAAGAGAAAAGGAGATTATAGCATAAAATGAAGATGTTGTCTGATTTTCCTCCTAACAGCAGGATCCAGTAAGGATTTCACAGCTCTGCTGGTGGTTTGTGTTTTTTTTGCTTTTGTAGTATTGCAGAGCATGCTAGGTAATAACACCAGGAAATTTGGCCTAAAAGGACCAGTCAGAGCACTCATGGGCCAACATTTGGGCCAACATGAGGGACAAAACCTGATTCTCCAGGAAGGTGAATAGGAAGATTATGTTTGGTGAAGAATTCAATAATCAGATGTGTAGGAGGCAGGAGGTCATTGGAGGAAAGGATGTCGTTTCACCATGAACAGCAGCCACGCCGATAGCCTGCCCTGGAGACCTGACAGTCCCATACTTTCTCCATGTTATCAATCAGCTACATGCAAGCATGATTGACCTATGGTTTTGTTTTGTTTTGTTTTGTTTTTGACAGAAGACTCCAGTGCAGCATTCAAAATTAAATTCTTCCTCACATGTACCCTATAGTATTTTGGACCCAGATCCGAGTAACATAGGTTAGGAACTAGAGTGGCTCACATCTGGTTGGTGTGATTCATGACAGAGCCAAAAGTCTATGGTTGATATCCAGCTATACAAGTATGTCCTCGTTGAAGTAATCACCTTACTCTTTTTGGAATCTGCCTGCCCAAAATTGTCCAGAAGATCTATCAATTCTGGTTCTTTACCTGTCTTGCAAAACCAGCCTTGCACTAAACCAGAGAGTCACAGGAGATACCAGTTATGGGCACCTACACCTTGCATCCTACTTGGGTTATGAATTCACAAGTCCTGGAGGGTACAGAGACAAGATCTTTTTCACAGTAGAAGTATTACAGTAAAGAAGTTTTCTAAGCTGAAAAATTTCTTTGCAGACAACTAGTAGAGGAACAAAATTTTACACATAAAAAATAACCTCTGCAGAACTTCTGCAAAGAAAAATTACTTCCTAGGAAACTGCAGGGGTACGTTTGTCATTAACTTTACAACATCAGATTAGCACACAGATTATATTTAATGCACTCTAACAAATTCTGGTTTTAATAAAAACCAGAGATTCTGCACACATACTCAATTCAAAGGCTATTTCATTAATTACATTGTTCTCCAAATATTTTAATTGCATCTTTATTGGTAAAGAGCAGAAGGTACTGCAAGCATAACTTATTTTATTAAAGCCAGGAGCAAATCTTGTCACTTTTAATTTAGCTTAAAACCACAAATTATTGATATTACACTCAAGGGAATGCTCATTAAAGCATTTCTTCACATGACCTACATATATCAGTCTATAATCCCCTTCTTGAAACATAGGCCTTTCATTTTCCTCAGTTACTAATTATTCCCATTGAAGTACCAAAGTATTTCTTTATTCAGCAACTCCCACTATTGCCTATTGTTTGGAAATTAGTTTTTCATTAGCAACTTTCATAACATAAGCCCTACTCCTCTTTTTGTAATTAAAAACCAGACATGTTTACCTTTTCCAGCTCTGATGCTTTAAAATAATAATAATTTTAAAAAGCCATGAAACTGTTAATTGTTGGCAAATTTACAGCATGGGCTCATAAAAAATATCTGACTATGAATGCAGTGTCATCTCCGTAAAGCCCTTGGAATGCCAAGAACATTCCAGTAAGGGCATTTTTAGTGGCTCTTCAGAACTTCTAGTTCAATATAAAAGGTGCTGAGGGTCTGGAAAACTTATGCACTTTAGCTCAGAGGCCTTTCCATTCAACAGCAAAGAGTTCTCAAACCTCTTGAATGCCTTTGGACTCGTTCTTATCTCTGCTGGGAAATTACAGCTTCCCACACATACAGATTTTTCAGCTGAAATCCTTCATTGTTCTACTAGAAAAAGTTATTTCTTAGTAGTATATACTGTTTCTTTTTGGATTTTTTCCTTCAATTTTTTATCAAAAAGCCTCCTGAAATGTGTTTCACAGTAGTTGTCCTTATAATGGTAAATTACTGTACTAGCTGCTTGAAGAGATGTGTGTTTGGTTTTATTTATTTATTTGTAATTTAAAAATATGCCCCAAATTCCTCATTTAAAATCAGTCTTTAGGACTGAACAGGTCTGATAATGAAATGCCTCATACTAACTTACCTGCAAAACATTCTTTTCTGTCCTTACTAATTTGCTGAAGATCATACCAAATGCCAGGACAGCTTAAAAAGAAACACTGAGGGAAGAAAGTTTGGAAAGGACTTGTAACCCAAGCAGGGTGTAGCTAACTTGAAGGATAATTTATTTGCTTTGACAAGATGGAAAATGCCACCATTTTCTGTACCCATACAAATTTATTAAAGCCAAGTTTAACCTATTTATTCACTGTCCTGTTTAGTCTTGTATTTTGTCACTTTGAGCATTTACTAATTATAAAAGTTAGAGAAATAAGCAGTTAGAAGCTATTCTGCTTTCATTTTTACTTACTTACAGTTTAATTACATTTAAAAATAATCAAAAACATGGTACACAGGCAGAGGCACCAGAAGACCTTGTATTTTGCAATTTACATCAAATTATGAAATTTCTATGCTTTAAGAAACAATACACTGTGGCGGAGGGGAGGGGGGAAGGGGAAGTTCCTGGTTATTTTAGTGCTAGAGAATGACTGCAGATTTATCTAGTTGCACATTTTTTGCCTGGCTAGCTGGCCTCAATGGCAGCACTGCAGACAACACTGCATACTCACATCTTGCCATCTGGTCTCGTCCTCTTTCAGCTGGTTATTTATGTTCTGTAGCTTCTCATGCCGAGCTTTGCTATGAGGCTGAGTCACAGCTTCTTCTTCACATCTCATGTCAAACATGCTCATACTCCTAAACAAGGGGGAAATAAGTGCAGCATTATTTAGAGGTTTGTATTCCTTCAGCTTGTTAGAGCTAAAGCCACATGAGGGTGCTACAGCAGAATCAGACACCTGCACCATTATGAAGCTTTGAAAAGCAGCAGATCTCTAAAAGGACCACTTGTCATTCCTATAGCTTCCACATAGTACTTCGAGCATTACACTCCTCAACTTTCTCTTGTTTTTGTTGACTGCAATTTTGCCTCTCACTAAGAAGCATTACTAACATTACAAGCTTTACCAACATTACATCTCCATCAATAGCTCTTATTAAAATAATTCTATGCAGAGTTCAGAGCATTTTACTGCTCTGATTTGTTCCCCAGTGAGTTTTCAAGACCCCTTAGACAGAAGTTTCCATTTCAGTGCAAAACAAGAGAGGCTTGAGAAGTATATTAGGGGCAGCTTGGCTGGCTAAATGCTATTGCTGCTAAACCAGGGAGAGAAGTACACACAGCCCAAACAGCATGGTGTCGCCTCCTCTCCCCTCCCTGCCTCAGGAAACTCAACGCTATCAGCATCAACTTATTAATACGGTAACCTAACAAAGAAAGCTGATGTTCAGGACAAAACAGTTTCTTTCTACACACTCTATTTCTGTCCCTGACCTTTGGAGAGTTAAAGGTCATAGTTTGATATTATACATCCATTCATATTATAATACAGATCTTCACACGAAGATAATGTACTTACTGTGCGCACCCTGCTACCTAATAGTGGTAAAATATGATCTCAGTTATGCCATTAAAAGCAAAAAGCAAAAAAAAAGCCATGCAGTTCCACACGAAGTGATTTCACAGCAGCCTTCAAACAATCATCCGTAGCTTTAGGTGAGCCAACGAGCAGGAGAAGCACCCAATGAAGATAAAATTGCAGGCGACTGTGTACACAGTAACCAAAGTGAACAGATGCAGAAAGCTGTGCATATATGTATTTAGCCAACATTTGTATTCAGGCAAGCAAAGATGGGAACAAACCACTCTCAAGGGAAAACTGAAAGGTCTGGACAGCAGATGGAAAAGGACATGCACAGATTCTATCCTATTAGTAGGTATTTACTCAGAAATGAAGGACAGAATACACATTTTATTGCCTTTAAGCGTGAACAGCAAGGTTAGCATATTACCATGCTTCATCCCCTAAACACAATGCGGAAGGGTACATTAATTTGGGTTTCCTGTGGGTAGTTTAAAGGTTGCATTGGTCAGGATTGGATTGGAGCACTCCTAAGTAACAGAACCTAAGGAGATAGTAAGTTTTGTTGGGTTTAAAACTAAAGGCATATCACCTACTAAGGAACAATTAAATATCAGTCATATTTTGCAGACTGGTGAGGTAGATTGGGAGATGCAGAACTTGTAATAAAGTCACCCTTAAAGGGTTCATTCCAGTTTAAGAACTTTTGAAATCCACACTAGGAAAAGTCTTTAGTGTTATTTGTCACCTTGAGCCTACTGTGCTGAAGGGGTTGTGTAGCTCCTTTCTTGTACTGTACCCTTCCCTCGTATCAGAGAATTTTTCATTCACATACAGTAAATGAAGACCTGAAATGGTGGTAACTCATTCTAATAGAGTGCATGAGTACTCACCCTCTGCCACTTGGGATGGGAAAATAAAAATACTTTCTACCAATAGTACCCTGATGTCGTAATGAAAAGCTAGTATTCATTCCCTGCATTCACTCAGGTCTGTAAGGGTGCACAGAGACAGCAAAACCAAAGGTTTTATGGCTAATAACAATGCAATAAAAAAGGTACTCTGGAGAAGGCTTCAGCCTAGGCAGGAATCAAACTATACAATAGGATCCCACATGCACCTTCTACTTAGTTGCCACCTCCTGCTACTGGGCCGTGGATAAGCAACCAGGTAGGTTCAAACATCAACTCTGCAGCAACATTTTATGAGAATATGTCAAAAATCCTTATGCAAGGCATTTATTATCTGGCCTCATCACCATTTTACAGGCATACCAAGACTTCAGAAAACCCAATAAAACATAAATGACAGGCTGGCTAAAGAATCAGACTCTAGTAAACAAATACTCAAAAATCTCAGCTCACTATTATTTGCTTGTCAGGCTTAAAGGATAAAGCATAAGCCTAAACTCACACTGGACTGTCACACTAGAATTCAGCTGTATCTCTTCAAGGGATGGGAACGGGGCTGATCAACAGCAACACACCAAGTCCTGCCTTTTCTGGACCTTCAGACAGAGCAGGGCTGATGACAGCACCCAGCATTCACAAACAGCGAAGGGAACTTTGTCAGTTTGATGAAGGAGTTTCTGGTTCTGCTGCTGGAATAAGCAGCACCCAGAATAAGACTGAATTCAAGTTACAGAGTTTTCAAAGGAGACTTGAAAAACATTTTGGAAGCATTTTAAATGTCAGTTCAATTTATTTTTCCTACTTGAGATTTTATTAGATTTTTTAATCAAATATTTATTTATCAAATATTTTACCAAATTTTATTAGATTCTTTGTAAGTACTTCATCTTCAGAAGGAAAAACACAACTTCACGTTTATAAGAACGTAAAAGACAGTTTAGGGAAATAGTTTCTCTGAAACTGTGGCACATCTGGAAAGGATGACAAGGCTTGAACTTTTACTGCTTTGCCTTTTAAAGCAAAATCAGAAGCTATGCGGAATAAACAATACGATTTACTCATCTTTGCTACTCTCACATTATACAACCAAATTATTTGCAATGCCTCTTTGAAGGCATCTCCACGTCCCTTCTCATGTTTGCATTTAGTACAGACATGCAAAAATCTGGGAAAATAAATGAAAAAATCAAGCAGATATGTAGGCTTTCTGAAATGGCAGGGAAGTCCCCATCATTAAGTATAACTCTTTTGTGTTGTTATGCTCTTTTTATCTCATCTCTTCATTTGATTGAGCAGATTTCTGCTGCTTGAAAATGATCACATTTACTCTGTGGTCAGAGGACACGGGCTTTGCTCAGCATAAAGATATTATAGATGTTGTAAAGAGTATTCAGTCCATGATTCTAGACTTTATATCATTAGAGGAAAAGGTGAAAAATTATATAGAAGTCTCTGTATATACTTTTTATGGAAAACCCTGCATGCTGTTTCTATTTTGTGATTTAATCTGGGAGACAGAGAAGGTCATGTACATTCCTGTGAACAGAAGTGGGCAGTTCCCAACTATTTCCTTGCTTCTCAATGCCTGCACTTTGTAAGAATAGCTAATACTTCCACAGAGCTTTCTAAATGACAGTGCACACTATTCTGAACTACAGTTTACATCCATACACACACAACTAAAATGTGTTTGAGTGCAATAAATGTCAAAGTCCTACTCCTTCTGCCAAAAGTAAAGCACTGAGGTGAAAACCTTAAAAAACAAAGTTTAATACATTATTAAATTAAATCAAACCTAGAAGGGATTCAAGATAAAGTTTTTAAAAGACAAAAAAGTAACAGCTGAAAATGTATTTTCCTGGTAATTATTCTGAAGATCTCAATGGATTTTATTTTACTTTGGGATTACTTTTTTCTTCTTATATAGGTCATACTTAAATATTTTTTTCCTCAACACCCAACCCAGATTCAACCCAACTCTCTTTACCTGTAGCTGATTAGAGGCAATGCAAATTCAGTAGAAAAACAGAAGAAAAGAAAAAAAGAAGAAACAATACTTTAAGCAACAGCTGGACATTAGCGTTATGCTCAGTTTTTATGTACTTTTATATAAAAAAATATTTTTAGCTGCAATGTAAGCCATATTACATTCCATTTTTCTGTGCTTTTCTGAAAAACTTACTTGCTGGAACACTGCAAAATAATAATGAGGCATCAACTGCATTTTAAATTAGTAGAAAGGTGGGAAAGCATGCAGTGTAAGTTGTTTAAAATAGAATCTTGTGAACACAAGACAACTTACTCTGCGTCATCAGACACAGCAGTTCTGGGGCCGAATCTACAAGATCAAATATAAAATTAGAGCGTTGATAAATACATTAAGTAGTAATTGCAACTGGACCCATACTGTTATTTGGGTAACTGTTGCTTGACCATCCAACCTGTACTAGTAAAGCTGACCAAAAAAGAATCACACTGTTCAGGCATTATGTATTCAGCAAACAAGACCTACCAAATCATCTGGAGGTCAAACTATGTAAGAACACCACCCATCCCTCCCTGACCCCATACTAATGCCTCCACTACAAAAAAAAATCTTCTGAAGTGTACCTAAAATGGTTGTAGAAAATAGTTATTGAAAATAGACATTATATTAATATTGACATTAAGTGCCACACATGCTATGAATGGAGACAAAACTTAACAGTTACATTCCACAGCAGTGCTGGGAATAACCATTACTGAAGCATGGAAGAGACAAATACTATAGGCAGAAAGTGTGCTGTAGTATTTCCTTTTTTTTTTTTAATGTTGTATTTTTTAGAGGGTTGGGGAAGTGTAGCTGAAAAAAAGGTACTGGTAATACACAACTCAGCATCATTCACTAAAGTGACAGTCTTGTACAGAGCCATGCAAACCACGTATTTGTATCTGGGATTTTTCATAAAAGAACATAAAGTGCAAAAGTCAACACTGCAACATTTTCTAATCACGGGGAAGCAAGATACACATCTATAACACAGCAGAGTCCAATTGAACCTCTGCAATTCATAAACCTTTTTTGCAATTCAACATACATACTGTAATCAAATATTTCAATTAACTTCATTTCAATATTTCAAAATAAAATACGTTACACAACTATTCTGTTTGTTTCCAAAAAGTGTATTACTGACATACAGTATTTTAGTCTAGACTGAAAACACACCATGCAATGCACAATCTGAATTCTGAAGTGCGCACACAGGAGTGTACAAGCTGCGTGATCACACCATAGAGAGCTCACATTTGCAGATGCTTATCCTTGGATGACAACATTTCTGTTTTGTTTTCCTCGTGGACCTCCTGAAGCTCAGATGTTTGACCAAGTTGGACTTCATTAAGGCTGCCTTCACCCACTTGGGCAGTACAAATAGTCTGATCTTGTCCTGCAGGAGGGAGATTGCATTTTTTCTGCCCCTGCTGCTGTTTTTGTGGTGGTTGTATTACAGGTTTTCCAGAGCTATTAACGCTGACTTGTGGGCATTTTTCAGGCCTGAGTGAGCCAAAGGTAGCAGTGCAAAGAGATGTATTAAGCAACATTTGAAAAATTGCATATACATCATGAAAAGCATAAATTCAAGTTAACAAAAAAAACCCCACAAACACAAATAGCTGATAACAAGCTAAGTGAGGCAGGCACACAAAACATAGTTTTAATAGAGAGCTAAATGCTTGTACTTCCATTCCTCTAAGGCAGAAACACAAACCGCTCTGAACATCACCAAAGATTAAAGCATTAAGCACATGTTTTAACTAAGCTACCCAACTTAAGGTCTTCTCAACACCAAACCACTGTTCATTTCTATGGTAGATGACATACTTTCTTCTCCTGGCTGGGCTGTACACTAGTTTTTACCTGCATATGCACAGGTGCATGCATATCTTTCACCTCATGTACTCTGGAGAGGCTGATGAATGAGAACCTCATATTTAACCAGAAACCTCTGCAAATGTAACACAATCCTGCTGTACATCTCCATTTCCACACACTATTAGAATTTTGCATCTAGTAGAGCTCTGCTCTGAGTCTTTACAGGGCTCTACCAAAAAGGCCAGAAACACTGCATTGCCTTCTTTTGAGCAGAGAGTCGGCACAGAATTGAGGACAAGTACGGAAGAAACCACTGCTGGGCCAGCAGCAACTCCTCCAGATGAAAAGCACACAGGGCCAGTTGCAAGGGAAACTGAAAATCACAACTTTCTTACCTTGTAGCTTTCTTCTCAAGTTCTCTAGCTGTGCCCTGCTTATTCTGCTGCTTTGAAAATGGCATGGGAAGGAACTGCTTAACACTGGGCCCAGGCTGTTTTAGGAAAGCTCCAGTTCTTCTGGCCAACATGTCATCTCTTTGCGGATCTGGAAATTTCACTCTGTTTTCTGTTCCACTGCTCTGCTGCTGAAGGATTTTAAGCTGTTCTTTGCTCTCTTCTCGTGTGACAGTGCTGCTCAGAAAGACAAGTGACACTGTTCCATGATAATGCGTACTCGTGCAGCCCAGAGGCAACAGGCTGCTGAGGCAACATGGGGTACTGTTACTCAAAACACAGTTGCAGAGTGATGGACAAGTAGGTATCTTTAGCTACAGTGCTGGGAGTGAGAGCAAGAGGGAACTATACTGAATGCCACAATTCTGTAGGTGATATGTTAGAAACTGGGAATTGCATAAAAACGTATGCGAATTTATTCACTTAGAAGCTGGCATAAATGTCTGGACAAAGCACCACGGATTGCAAAAGAAATCCCCCCAAAAGATGAAAGACTGTTTTCATGCTGAGCAGCAATTAACGAAGTACTTAAACATTATGAAAGAAAACAGACCATTTTATGTTCATAGGAGACATTCTTGTAAAAGTAATTTCATGAAACAGAACACATGCCATGATGAATGAGTAAAACACATCTTTAAAGGCCGTGTGAAGAATGGAACAACATTGCTGGCTGATACAAGCTAACACCACACACAAACCAGGCATGACACTCCGAAGGATCTATTTCTGTGCTCTGACCTTTCTGCTTCCTGTGAAGTCTTCAAATCCTTCTCATGAGCTACTGCCTCCCCTTGTGGTTGCTGCAGCAGAGGAGGAGCTACTGACAGGGAAGGACAATGTATGGGAACGGGGCTAGTGGTACACCTCCGGAAAGTTCCCATCCTTCTAAGCAACATATCATCTCTCTCAATGTCTGGTAAATGACCAGTGCAATCTTTCTTGGTGCTTTCTTGCTGGTTCTTCAAACTGCACAGGTTTTGTTTCTCAGACATGATGCCAAAAGCCGGGGCAGGTGATTGCATTCTCCTGCAAGAGTCATCTGTACCTGCCTTGGCTACCTCACTGGCACTGAGATTGAGAGGAGGGGTGAGACAGACAAAACATTCTTGGGTCAAATGAAAGGTAAGAAGGGGAGTCTTCCAACTCAGTTTGCAAATGTTTTATAAACACACAAACTTAACCGAATGAATTGCCTGCTAAAAGTATTCCTTAAAAGTTCTTGCCATGGCCACGGATTAAGTGATTAAAGAAAAGCCAAATAAATGTAAGCTCTGTTAATACGTTAACTTCCCAGAGCTGTAATTCTCCTCCAGATAAATGCCAGAAACACAGAACACCAATACACCTTGATTTCAGTGTTACATCTTCAAAAAGAAAGCAAATCCATTAGGTTTGAAGAAAACACTTTTTGAACATCAGTAAGGCCAGCAAGCTGAAGGACAAATTCCTACAGTGCTGAAAGCAGGCAGAGCAAAGCCGCTAGAATTCAAGAAGCACAAAAAGCTTGAACGACAGCTCAGACGCTGAGATGTCAGCAATTTCACCACCCATCAGGAATTCTGGGGCAGGCTCTCAGAAGACCATTGCACAGCACTGTTTTGCTTAACCCTAAAGATGTTAAGATACTCTGAAGGCGTCAGATGACTTCTGGATGAGGCCGTGCATGTAAACAGCTCTTAGGTCTATGCTGCAGTCCACCCGCATGCAGATCAGCATCTGGCAAAACCAGGTCTCATTTCCAGCTCAGCAGTGCTTCCGAAGCCACACCAAATACCTGGACTCATTCTGTGGCTTAGATACTTCATCGCTGTGTTCAGCAAACCCAAGACCGTCAACAGTGGTTGAAAGAGAGCTTTCAACAGCAGAGTGACTCTCCACACCATCTTTCCTGCTTTCCTCTTCTGTTCCACACCTGGATGAAGCTCTGCCAATAACGAGCTTGTCCCATTTCTGTTGATCAATCTCAGTTACTGGCCCAAAATGCACAAACTTCTGCCTGGGGCTACCAGCCTTTCTGTTTGCTCTGGCTTTGCGGACAGCAAAATCATCCTGGGCTGCTGCTTTCACTGTGATTTCAGCTGGTGGTAGAGTGTCACTGGGACATCTGAAATCTTCTTTGCTAGTTAGAATGAGAAATAGAAGAACCCCCCAACGTGAGACCCCAGAATAATGCAAATTAAATGCTCCTAAGGTTTTGAAGGGTTTTATTTTAAAATTCAAGGACACAGGTACAAACAGCTGTGGAATACCGAGGCCCAAATGACAGATAAAATCTGAAGATACCACAGACCTGCTGGGAAAACTGGGAGCACATTCACAGAAGCTCTTCCTTATGAGGAAGGAACGCAGCCCATGGACCATTCCAGACTCAGTTCTTCGTCCATAGTTCTCTCATCTGCTTGTGCAGACCTAGGCCATGCATTAGATGGGACTGCACAAGCACCAGCATATGCATCGTGTCACTGGGGAGTTCCAGTGGCATGACAGCACTATCAAGGGCAACTCACTTATCCTAAACCAAGTGGACTGAATCTTCATTTTAATAAATCACCTCAGAAGTAATGGAGAGACTACTGGTATCTTTGAGATTAAATGATGATTGAGTATTGATGGTTCATATTAGAGCTAAAATTACACATAGTAAGCACATTGTAAGAAGAATGCCTGAGCAGATGGCCGCCTTTAATTGGAAAATGGCACACACCTAAACAGGTAGGCTAGGAGTGGTTATCCTTTCCTACTGGAGTCACAAATCACCTACATACGTTAAAGCCTGTCTCCATAGGGAAGTACCTTAGAATAACTACTTTATACCAGCTCCCTTTGCAGAGGTTTAATTTACAATAAAAGCACATCTACACCATACATTGAGGCTCCTGAAACCCCTGCTGCAGTGACAGTGCTGGTGTATTGACTCAGCACTGGAGTACAATGTAATGCAGATATATTAGCTCAGGTCTCAAAAGCAGTATTGCCAGATTAATGCAAAGAGATGCTGATCCTCAGTTAATACCCTCAAGATATAATGTC